TCTACTAATGCGTCCAAACAAGCTGTCTACCAATAAACTCAAGTCAGTCAGTTGGCATCAACGTGGAACCGGACCTGGCCTTACCGTGTAACACTACATTACATGACGCCATACTTCAACACAACAAGCGAATTTTTGGAAACGAATAGGACTAAACGGCATGTGTTATGTGTTATTGGACCGAAAAAGTTAAGCTCCGCTCATGTATGACGGCAAAAGGGGTGACCCGTGAGTTCTCGACTGGGTATAGTTAATATATAGGTTGTGTTTTGATGAGTTTAATCTTTTAGTATGGTTGGTACAAGCAACATTGAGTCCATTGCTGAACCACGCTTCGCATTCTGTTGTCTAGTCATTACATAAGAGTACGAACACTACAAAAGTTTTTCACAGGACAGTAGCTAAATAAAATTTCAAATCCTCTCGAAAAACTTGCCACTGTTTACAACAATTCACCAAGTTGCCTAAATTTCTCAAGAACAGTTGCTTCTTTGTTGTCTCGATAAAGTAAAAGTAAACAGTTAATTGTTTTTTCTAGTTATATAGGTTTTTTCAAGTTGCAGCCATAATAAACTTGAATGGTAGAACCAAACTGTTAAAAACGCGACGGTTATTTCTGTCTAATACTGATGCATTATTTCTAATTCTGCAACATGTTTTTCTTTAGGTTCCGGCTCTTTGTTGTAAGCATGACACTTCAGTGAATAATTGGTTTAAACCTCATTTCACCTACGGAGATTGAGGTGAAATCGGAAAGTCCTGAAATAAACCCAGAAATCCAGTGCACATTCACGCAGTAGGCAATGAGCCGCACATTGTGTGGGCCAATGATACTACCTATGTGCCCAAACCTTGGTACATGAAGCGGGATCCCAACCCACCACCCACTGAAGTTAAGTGTCTAGACCACAGTTTATTGGTCGGTTGGTGTCATTGAAAATATAGATGCGTCTCATTCTCTTAGACGTAAAAGCACGTGTTCTTTGCATTTTTTGCATATTATTTCTGGATAGTTTTTTACTTTGCATTCTGCGCTTGGTTTCCTACTGCACACTTCGCCGCTAATGTTAGATCAATTGTTTTCTTAGTCCTTTTCATAATTCACCTCTACTTTGATCTTATTTACCTCTTATATTGATAACTTTTTCTGCTTAGTTGCTTCAAATTATTTACTGAAATTTGCGTACTGAGACTACGTAGAACTTTTCCGAGATGTTTTGTGGTTAGAGTTTCTACACTTCATACCAGGATGCAAAGAAAGTATTTATAGAAAATAGAAGCGATACAGTTTTCGAAGTATATGAGAGGCGATGGATAAATTGACGTAAACGAAGGCATTTAAGACTTAGAGGGTGACAAGGCGTGCATACATTACTATTGCAACTGATTCTACCAGTGTTTTAAACGTTATTTTCAAACCATTCTGTGCTCTTACTTTGCTGTCATAGACCTGTAGTGTTTTTTTTTTATTTTGGTTGTTCATTTATTTTACTATCTAGCATTATGCAATACTCTGGTTATTTAATTAATTTCTACCATACCAAGATGTTCCCAGCAGTCTTACCACCACAATTATTGAGATTAACCGCAGCAATATTATCTTGATAGCTTTCAGTTGCATGTTTCACTACCTCGTTACCGCAGATTAGTTTTTATATATATATATATATATATATATATATATATATATATATGATGCGTCTGAAAAGCTGCCACAGATTTGTCACTACTTTTGGGGAATATAGGACAAGAAAACTAAGGCACAGTCCCCATATCTTGATTCTAAGCATTATCGACTCCAGATAGAGTTATATGATCTCCTAAAAAGCTTCTGTTTGGAGGCCAACTGTCAAGGGGGTAGAACAGAAGTGCTCACATCGACACGTTTATCCCGTCTCTCACAGTTAGAATAACGTCATGATGGTACAGTTGACTCAAGTTGGCACATGCTGTTCTGACTTTTTATGTACAGCTGGAGATCTCACCACTGGCGATCAAGCAGCCGTTTAGATACACGAACCTCTCAAATACTTCTAATGGCCTACTAATAAAGGTGTGAAAGCAAGACTACTGCCAATCTTGCCAAAGTACTCTGCACTTTGTTGGTATGGCATGGAATGCATGTTGTAAATATGAACAGCTAATATCAAGTGCCTATATATTGCTGTGTAGTAAAAGGATATTGTTACAGTAATGTAAGTCAAATATGCCTTCTGGCTACAGATTTACACTCAATTGCTTACTTCAGAACTGTTTAACAAATATCGATGACAAAGTTGAAGAAATCGGACGAACACAGCTGTTTACTGTTAGCAAGTACCAAAAAACTGGTATGTACTGACACCAAATTTAAAGTTGGGAGTGCGGTAACTACGTGTGTTAAGCATATCAGCAACATATGAAGTTGCATCGGTTCTATTGGACTACTTGCTGACGCAGACAGGTGCACAGATTTGTGTAGAACCTTACACAGGAGTTGGATCACACTAAAATAAACGACAAAAGGTAAAAGATGAGACAATAAATGAGTTGGTAAAATGTTCAAGTTTTGGAAGAGAATGAAAAGTATCTACATTTGCTCCACTGTAACTCACTTTCAGTTGTTACCAAAAACCTCCAAACACTGATTCCTGACATCTCGAGGGTCTCAACTAGGTGACCTACACAGCTCAGAAAGTGAGGAAATTCTTGGTTTGGTCCTGGTGAAGTAACCTTTAGCTCTCCTCTAACTTGATCTTTGTTAACGTTTCGTGCTATTGCATGCGATTTCTTGACGAGCTCAACTAGTCCCATCTGCAAAACAGTCGAAATGCACTGAGTGGCCGTGTGCAAGTTTGCGGAGCAGACACTAAGCTACACCTATTTCTTGAAAGTTAATGGTACTGTGTTCCATCCTGGTGCTTTCTCGCTTGCTGAGCTGGTGCGTAGTAGCTCAATCTGTAGCGTTACAACTTCGCAAGGAGGTGAAATGGTTACTGCACTGGAGTAATCCACTCCAGTTGAGAAACGGCCAGCATCAAAATAACAGCATAGGTGCGAAATGCATCTCAAGCATACTCCGAGTTGTGTTCAAGTCTGACAAACGATACTGAATTTTGTCAGCATCCGCACTTGAATGGGCGTTGATCTAATGGCATTTTCAACCAGATACTCCCTTAGTAGAAATCCTCTATTTCACAAGTCACAGGTGAGCAAGGTTATACATAAAAAACGTATAAAAAAGTTGACTAGGGATGATGAATGTATGGCCTTGAAGACAATTAGTGGTCGTCATCACTCCACATGAAAAGTCTGTGTTGGCGCTTACATGGTGCTGTCTTCGTTGTCAGACACTGTTACACCGCCGGTTGAGTGAATCAAATACTAGGCTCAGTCCAAGAAATATGGCAAAGCTGTGCAAATGACAGTTATTATTTATAACAGATTAGTTCTCTTCACAATGCACAAATCCTTCATGAATATATTTGATAGTTGTTAAATGACTTAGACCAGTCGTTAGTATTTTAATCTGATGGCTACTCCATGTTCCCGTTCCAGATAATGTTTCATCTAGTTAGCCAAAATGCATAGTAACGACCTCAGATACCTCAATAGAGTCGGTTTTTACCATTCATAAACTGATATACTTGCAGGACCTGCAATTCTACGCAACCGCATATGTGACCATGACTAACTGACGACTTAATGGCTTTTGTATTCGTACGCCTACCGTCTTTGAAAGTTCGTAAGGGGAGCTAAATAAAAGATGCTTCTCTACTTCAATTTTGAAGTAACTAAGCGATTTAGTGGCACTGGGTTGCAAAATGTCTACCAAATCACTGGGTTTCCCTGAATTATTGAAGGAAGATAATTACGTAAGATTTTTAAACCAACTCTTTTATACACTTTTATACTTATATGACAAAACAAGAGACACCTTTCCTGTTTCACTGATTCCTAATAAACATTCAGATACCTCTGGAATCACATATACTACAAGTATCAAGTAAAATATTACAATTAGACTTTCAGTGCCTTTAAAGAGGTTTTTCAGTTACCAACATGCTAGTGAGCGAAGTAGCACGCTAATTTTTGGGTTAAGGGTTGATGTCAACAGGTTCAGCAGCCTCGTTTTATGGTTTGTAGATGTGAGCACTTCATCAAGCTCATTCAAAATGTTTCGTCAATAATGTCATCTAGGGCAAACATCTGGTCTGAGTACGCTACCCATCAGAATGTCTGTGAACGGAATGCTAGTCTTCATACAGTTAGGGGTTGAAGTCAAGTCAATCGCTGACTAAAAGTGTTGACAGTGGGTGCAAAAGATGCCACTATTCCTATGGTTAGAGATTACAACGACAGCGGTTGTTGTTCACTGTTAGCATTGTGAGCTATAAACGTTTCTTGCTATATTTTGACCTGAAGTAACTGATTTGAATTTCATCTATTTTAGTTGAACAGAGGACCGACATCGTTGATATCTATTTACCAGGAGCGGATTAAGGATTATTCTTCCGTTTAGCTTGAATACAATTAGTCCTCAGTTCAAACAGTTTACGGTCGAGCAGAACTTCGTAGCATCATCACTGAATGTAAATTATATACTGTTGTTTGATTTGTTAATCAGTGATTCTGTGCTGCAAATTGTAGTTACTGAATCCAATTCATTAACAGAATAAACCTGTTTTGTGGTTCTCGATACTTCTGGCTATCCGAAGAAACAGTGAACCTGCGAGGTGATCATTTTGAGTCAAATGTATTGCCTTTCAACCATGTGATAATTTGTTAGAAATCCACATAATATATTAAGGTATGGGTCTCTGTGTAGTATCGTTAGCCCTCGAAATACGTGTAACTCCGCTTATTACATCGTCCTTCCAGCAACGGTTTCTTCCTATTTTGGTGACATAGCTTTGGATTTTGTATAACGTTTTTTCAAAATACTAACTGCCTAATATCTATGACATTTTTTTTATTGTAGTTCGCTGGGAAGACCCCTCTGTGCAAACTTAACTCACTAAATGGCATCAGTAGAGTAAGTTACATTGATTGTTTCATTTGATTTTTGTTAGATTCTGCCAACCAACTGACGCTGATGTTCAGCTAACTCAAAATGGCTATAATCAAGCTAACATTCTTTGTCCGCGGTGTTCCAGCATTGTTCTTCGTAAGAATACAGCCAAGTTAACCAATAAACAAGTAAGATTTTAGAAAGACATCAGTAATTCAGATTATAATTGAAAATCAAGGATATCCTAAGTAGTCAAATGCTATTTCGAGTATCTACATACGATAAACTCGTTTTCATTGGAATGACTCCTTACTAGGCGCGTACTCGTTCGATAAAACATGTTTCGTGTACGCTGATGGTTGTAAAGTAATAAGATGGATTCATTTTCAAACCGACTTTGTGAAGAAAATGTAATGAAAATTTTCTCAGTCACTTTGATTAAATAGGTTTCAATAATTCCGTGGGTTTCTATTTCACCCTAAATTGTTTTGAGATTTCACTTCGCAGATATATTCACCATATTTTATTGTCCGGTATATGGTACTGCAATCTGAGAGTCTGACTGAACTAAGATCTGCATATCACATGATGATCTATTTCCTCCTTGGTGTTTTTTGTGTGCTAACTGAGTTGTGTGTCCATCTCAATAGCGAATCATCTGGGCCAGAATATTTCATCATATATGTTACAATAATGTCATTTAACATTTTGAGCTTGCAAATACATGCTGGATGTTTTTTTCGTTTAACGTCCAGTGTTGTGCATTTCCATTTGGCCATTTTAACCAAACAGTAAACAAGTTACCACTAGCGGCGATATCAAGAAAGGAAGTGCGCCCCATCCATAGTCTAGAGGTTCATTTCCAATCGTTCACTTCACAATGTAGTTACATATGCAGGGACCCTTCTTAGGATCCTGAATAAGCCTGGGAGTAGAGTGGTATTGAGCCATACAAATTCACCCGAAGACAGACAGGCACAAGATTCTGTTAAACGCCTAGTATAAAGAATTTAATATCTCGAATATCGCGCAACTACTGTGAGGTCAAGTGAGTAAGTTAAATTAGCCGGATGGTGTCAATCAGAGTAGTGGAGCATAAAAACTTGACTTTGTTAAGAAAATTAGACCTTAGCAACATCAGTGAACCTGGAAAAACGCAATCACTTCACTTGCACACATTCTCAAACAGTGGAGGAAGATAAACACACAATCCAAAAACTACTACTGTAAAGTGGAAGGGTGTTCTCATCACAAAATCTCAGTTCCTCAAACAAACAACAAACCAAAACAGTAACTGAAAACCAATCCCCATCACTAGAAATTCGACATTTACTAAATTTAAAAGTATTTACTTGATGTGCTGATACGAAGTGTGGCGTCATGTAATGTAGTGTTACACGGTAAGGCCAGGTCCGGTTCCACGTTGATGCCAACTGACTGACTTGAGTTTATTGGTAGACAGCTTGTTTGGACGCATTAGTAGATATTAAAATCCGATAGCACAGTTTAGTATATACTTCAAAGTGAAACGTGAAGACCACAAATTCGACGATGTTTAGTGAAAACGTTGGGGAGTATTTGTAGCTCAGAATGTAGACGTCGTGATAGGATTCACGGTGAAGATAATGGTGATCACAAGTAATGCAAACAGTTTTATGGAGAGAGATTGATTTAATTCACATGGCTTTCAGTGGATGACAGTTTGTTGTGAGACAACGAATGGCTTAGGTCACCAACCATGTCCTAAGTACTGACTGTATCTGGACATAATTCGTTGTTTCATGCAGTGATTGTATCACTTACTGTGTTTCAGTATTTATGTAGACAACTTGATTTGGTTTGAAACTAAGGTTGACTGACTGATAAAATCATACATGCATGCATGTGCATCGGCTCAAATTGCCACACTTCACAGAAGTACACAAACAAGCGGTGAATAAAAAAGAAGTGATATCAAAGTAGATAAACCAGTGTGAGAGAATAAATAATCTGAAGATAAAGGTTAGTGTGAATATTCAAGTTTTAGAAGATATCAAGGAGTGAATACATCTGCACCATTGCGACCGATTTTCAGCCATGTCACCAAGTTTCCTCGACCACTGATTTCTTTCGTCTCGAGGACCCCAACTAGGCAGTCTGCATCTCCCTACACGGCTCAAGCCAACAGTCAAAGCTACACCGAGTGGTTCTGTGTCTTCGTCTGGCCACACTGAACGCTTTTCCATCTTAATCCAACTTCTGGTATGGCGCGTTGAAGTAGGTGGTGGCTCAGCATGCGCAGTACATGTTCAAGCCATCTGAGTTGACTAACGTTCACAACCTCGTCAATCGACTCGCCTGTCTTGTATAGTACTTTTCACCTGACCTCAACATTCATCACACAGTGATTCCACCACATGTTTGCAATGCTACGAAAACATCTATGGTCGAAAAGCTGTAACTGTTTCATGTCTCTTACTTTTAACAGCGATGTCTTACAGCTGCACAACATGACAGAATGAACTGCAGGGCAGTATACTCGTCCTTTGATAGATAGCCGGATATCTCGCCGACGCCACAGGTGACTCAAGTTGGCAGGCAAGTATGAAATGCGCCTTTTGTATCTGAGCTGAGATTCTGTCTGCAACCAGCTCGTTCAGGGTGATGCAACTCTCTAAGTAAGTGAAGTGGTCGACGCATTCCACTACTTCACTTCTTATCATTGAGCTGGAAGCCGTTGCACACCAATCCTGGAGCATCATCTTATATTTGACAGTTACCAGTGAAACGCATGCCAAGCATATACAGATTTCTGCTGGAGGCGTTCGAAAGACCTTGTATTTCGTCAGCGTTTTCCCCTAGTAGGACAATATCGTCTGCATATTTCAAGTCAACTAGGTGACCTCCAGGGAGTAGATCAATCCCTGTGAAGTCAGACGTACCTAAAATTATGTCCATTAATACGTTTATGATGAATTTAAATAGGAACGGTGACAGTGAGCAGCCCTGCTAGACACCACTAGTTATTGTCAATTCATATGACAGCTCCCGATAAGTCCTGACATGGCTGTGTGAGTTTGAGTAGAGAGCTTTGATAAGCACCATATGCTTGCTCAGTACTCCATTTACAGTCAGACACTGTCACAACACCTGGCAGTCGACACAGTCAAATGCCGCCTTGAGTTCAAGAGATATGCCAAGTTTCGGTCGTCGGTAAGTATGCCTGTGTTCAAGGACCTATCGGAGGGTGAAAATGTGATCAGTGCACCCTTGAACAGGTCTGAAACCTGACTGTTTTTCTCGATTTTGCTGTCCTCGAGCTCTAGCTAGGCGTCGGATAACTATGGACCCTAGGATCTTGGAACAATATTGATCAAACTTACTTCCATATGGTTGTCACAAGAAGATTTCTTCCTGTTTTTGTACAGTCGTTATGATCAGTGAACTGGACCAGTCTGATGGGACAACATCTGATTCCTATACACTACCTAGTGTCTTTGACACTAATCAACAATCTCGTACCACCATCCTCGAAAACCTCAGGTGGCGAACTGTCAGGTCTTGCTGCTTCTCATCGTTACAGGTTCGATACAGCTTTCTGAACTTCAAGGAGAGTTGCAGGACCAACATCTTTATCCTATTCAGGTTCAGGCTGGATATTGGTCAACTAACGCGTTTCTGAGGGTTAGTTGAACTATGCTTCGAAGTGTTTTGCCCAACTTTCTAGCCACGTGTCATCAGCGTCTAATTCTTTTCAAGGGTGGTTTCACTTACTATCGTCTTTTTCTTGCCGGTATGCGTGATAAGTCTAAGCAGTTGCCCAGTGTTAAACAACGCTGATGCGTTCTCAGTTTCTTTCGCTTTCGCCACCCAACACTGCTTGCGATCGGTGAGAAGATTCTTGGTCAACTTATGTTTAAGTTGTTTTCGCTCTTCGTCGTGTTCAGATCTAGTTAAAGCCAATCTTCTCGCATCAGTCAGTTCGGATGACGTCACGGATACCTAGTGACGTTAACAGTTATCTTTATCACTATATCTACAATAGACTTAATGTCACGCCAGGTTTTCACAGGATGTGGATTACTGTCACGTTCAGATAAATGCTTAGCTTGTGCTCCCTTAAATACATTTTCATTTTCCAATCGACCATAGACGGGCTTTACTGCCGCTTCCCTGCGAGCAGTGAGCACAGGCACACACGACCCCGTACTAGCTCGTGATCAGAGTCCAAACTGGTACTCCAGAGGGAACACCAATCCTCCACCGATTCTCTACTGAAGTTAGTGGTCGACAGAAACAAGGGATTGTCGGAGCGAAATTGCAACAAACGATGATGGTTGTCGGTTCGTTGGCATGGGATTTCGTAATTACATCCAAGATACCTTTCCTATTGGCTCAGCTTTCCTACTTGAGCGTTAAAGTTACCTGTCATTCTGACTACATCTGGACGTTCTGCTTTCTGTAGCGAAATTAACATCTCATAGAATTCATTCTTTGCATCATCTGAGCTGCAGTCGGTGGGTGCTTTGGGAGAAGTTACGAATAGGCATCACCTAATCTCACGATCGCTTCTAGTCCCCACAGATTTATTCCGTCGAACAGCACATAGACAGCTGTTTACTGGAAACCACTCGAGGAGAATACTTTCTGCTCTATGACTCAATGCTGAGCCTCCACCAGCGAGTCCACAAGAGCTGGCCATTGCGTCTCCAGATACTCTTAAAGTTACTTTTGAAGATTCATTACTATGGCCATGTGAGGTCAATTTAATAACCACACTCGGGTCCTGTATACGTGTCTCAGAGACCTGGTATACATTCATGACTAGAGATTCAAGAGTGAGTGATGCTTACCGGCATATAGTTTGGGCGTTGAAAACTCCCACAGTAAATTGATAGCAGTTGGAGCCTTAGGAGACTAGGAACGAGGTTTCGATGACTTTGGTCGTTGACAATGGTTACAGAATAGGAGGTTGCGTAAGGGGTAAGAAATTTAGTATTCGTATACGGAGGCGAAAGCAAAGGACGGAACAGAGTTGAGGAGGATACTTGATGTGTGATTGGGTCATATGTACTGCTGGAAGCGTGCGGGTGGTTGTCACTTCCCGGCTGCCTGCATGGTGGAAAGCTATTTCTTCTTAAGAGGAAAGGATTTGTGTACGTTAAACTATTGAGCCGTATGCCATGCACGGTATGTTTCTCACATCACACCTGATTCTTCCTATATATATATATATATATATATATATATATATATATATATATATATATATATATATATATATATATATATATATATATATATATATATACTGAAAAACTGCCACACCTCTCGTTCGTCACAATTGAAGTATGGTCGGTGTCAGCTGCCCGAATGTATGCCTATCCTGCGAAACCTATCGAAGATTAAAGTTTTGATCGATGTTTGAAGCCTACCTGATGTTCTGGAGTCATGTTTCGGTGTCGTATATCTGTGGACTCTACGATCTTGGACACGATGATTGGCTTATGGTTGTAGCAAGAAGATATTCCCCTTTTCGTATAAACCGGTTTGATCAGTCAATTAGGCCGGGACTTCCTATGCTTCTTATGTGCTACCGAATATCTCAATTACGCTACTCAGTAATTTAATACATGTATCCTTGATGATCTTTGGCATCAAGCCATCAGATTCTGGTGCTTTGAATTGTTTCACGTTCTAAACTTCGAGAATGGTTGGAGGACCGACATTCATGTCTCATTCAGGATTGGGCCGCAGACTGAACAATTGTTAAGCTGAAAACTGGTAACTTGAGCTGTGCCTCAAAGTGTTCCTTTGGTCATTGTAGTTTTCTGGGACACATTCTTTTCGCTTGCCAACCCACCGATCATTGTCTTCTTGGCAGTATCTTTAACAAGCATAAGTAATAGTTAGGTATTATATAGTTCTGATTTCTTGTTAATCACATTCGGAGCGTCTAAGTAACCTCATTTGCAAAAAACTTGTTTCAGATCGATATTCATCATGAACTGATATCAGTTGGAAAAACAGTGGAAGCACTCGAGTATGGGACTCCTCAGTACTGAATTCTGTCCCACTAACCCGATGGTAACTTGCTGGCAGCGAAGACTGAAGGTCCTGGGTTCAATCCTTGACGGGGTCATGGGTGCGCACTGATGTCAGTCCGTGATGGATGCCAACCTGAAATCAATAAGTAATTCACCACAAACCTCCTAATTGGAGGCTTCTGTCAGTCGCATTGCTTTTAATGTGAAAAAATACTCGTTTTACGAAGCTGTAATTATAAAGACTTTTCTTTCTGGCTTTTTAATTTCGTCTGTGAATAGATTTCAAGAATTTAAGCGCTTGTGCAAATGAGCTTTAGTATAGATCTTTCCGTGAGATACAGACGCGTGTAAATAGATTATTAACATTATTCTGTATAGCATTTCAAAACCATTTGAGTAACATGGCTACAGAGCATTATAACTGTGCTCTTGGTTAAACTCTGAACACATATAAGGTGTGTAAACTTATGAAGTGTACTAAATTACTCATTGCTTCTGTTTCTGCATTTATTTTTTAGCACGAGTTACCAGTGTTGGCCAAGAAATCTGACCTGTCCAATCCTTCAAAAGCATTTCCCACTGAATTAACTCAAAACTTCTGGTGTGTTAATGATATATACACATTTGAAAATGTCGGATTCACAAACAGTGTCAGTACGTTTCGTTACTTGACATGTGCTGACTGCGAACTTGGACCGTTAGGTTTCCATGACACTCAAGAAGGTCCGCCTAGTGCCTACTATGTTGCCCTTACCCGTACTACAACTGAGGCTAAGTCGAATTGTGATCAATGAGTAATTTTTGACCAGACTAATGGAAACTGTGATGCTTCTTCGGGCAACTACTGTAACTCTGGATTTTCAATATTTAATTTGACAAAACAGTCACTAAGTTGCTCAGTTCCAACCTGATTAAGCTTTGGACTACTGTAAAATAAACAATTATATGTGCTTTTCATCTTAGTATCACATACAAAAACAAATATTTTTCTGCATTTCGATATGATAATGTCAGTTTTGATAATAGCGTTTGTTCTTCAATCGACCTCGGTAGACTACATCGTTTAAGAAAACTTAGTGATACTAGTTGTTCTCGTATGTAAAAGACTATGAAAAATTTACTGTCTTACTATGATGTGCTGACTCAAGTGATTTGACTTTCTGATAATACATTTACGGAAAGTCAACAGTTGGATCTAAGCAGTGGCATAATTTGAAAAAGCATAATGAAGGTGAAGGGAGGTGAATAAATACTTCATGGTTCCATTGATTTTGATCTGATCACAGTGGGAAACTTTCAAAAGATATCTGTACTACTGACAGTTAACCATCCTCGACATATGTGATGTGATAGATGGGTTGGATACACTCTCCTCTGACACTTTGAGAGGGTAAGGGTAGAACTGTGAGTGTTGTGAGTATTTCAGGTGAAACTCAGTATACGTTTTTAAAAATGATACCAGTGAAACGGTACTGTGGAGAAATATTTTGGAGCAAGAACTTCATGATGCCAGTGCTTACAATTAGTAGAGGCATTTTTCGGCACCGTATGTTAGAAGTTTAAGATGTTTTTGAATATTCAATTAGTTGTAGATTACAAATGATAGGAAGAAATTTAGGGAAATGTTGCAAGTTGATATATGTTGGTGTTTACGAGCACTCAAAAATCGGCTGTTTATTCATCTTCCAAGAAACCGAAGAGTACTTCGGACCAGTGTTAAATACCGTTTGTTAAAAGGCTCACGTTTTTCTAAAAATCTTAATCACTGCAACTCATTCTAAATTATAACTATGTTGCACGACTGTTCGTGCTGTCTGAGTACCAATACAGTTAGTAATCTTTCCTGTATAAAGTCTTTGCATCATCAGAGCGACTGATGAAGAAATTAAATCCCCCACGTGTCACAATGCCTTGGGCTTGCTTGTAAGCAATGACTACTGACATTCCCCATCCTCCATGCCAAGTCCAACCCAGCGTTTCGGCGCTTGGCCATCAGCTGCTATCTTGACGTGATGGTCAGGGTTGTATAACACAATGACCCAACTAGTTAGAATGGTTGTTCTCCTTAAATCCTCCCGAGCCGTAAAGGTCAGTTGGATAGTGGTAAGACTAAAGGGAGGTACGTAGTAGTGTAAATTGCTACACTGTGGTGGGGGTCCAAGGGTGAAATTGTACTGGTGGCTACATGGGTGTAACAGCAGTAAGGTGCTTCCCTTGGATAACCAGCTGTGCCGCGCTGATACTACCTTCCCTATGGGAGAGGTTGGAGAAGTCAGTCCAAAAAATACCACTTTCCTAGCTGCCGTGTGGTGTTCCGGTTACGACGGTATGGGTTTTCTCAACTTGGGGTTAGAACAATCACATCTCACCTCAACAATCCTCAAAAGACAGTGTGTGACAGGCCTGAATTAGATGTCCATGGGCTTTACAGTCAGAAAAATTTCCTCTTTTTCTTTCAGGCAACTTAAGAAGAAATAGCCTTCCACGGTGTGGGCACTCGGAAGTGCCGACCCCCCACTGGTATTAAAGACCTAATCAAGTATAATCCATCCTCCTCAACTCTTTCTTCTCCTTTGCCTTCAGCTCCTGATACTAATGTAAAGTTACACCTCCCTAACCTCTCATTCTGCAGCCATTACCAACGATCTAAGCCTCATTCCTAGTCTCCTAAGACTCTGCTGCTGATTTTATATTGGATCTTTCAACGTTCGAACCGTATACCGAATCGGACAGGAGTAATTGCTCACCAGAACTCTAGAATATCCAGCCATGGATGTATGCTGTGTCTCTGAGACACGTATACATGGCCCGAGTGTGGTTATTAAATTCACCCCACTTTGCTGTTGTAGTGAACCTTCAAAGCTCACTTTACGAGTATCTGGAGACCCAGTGTCTAGTTCTCATGTACTCGCTGGTGTAGGAACGGCACTGAGCTGTAGGGCAGAAAGTGCACTTCTTGACTGAATACCAGTCGACAGCCGTCTACGGGCTGCCTGACTGAACGGATCTGACAGAAGTAGGAAGGAGAGTGGGTTAGCCAATGCTGATTCGTAACCTGCGCCTACGCACTCACCGACTGCAGCTCAGATGATGCAAAGGATGAAGTCTATCGGAAGCTATCAATTTTCTTACAGAAAGCAAAACTTTGAAATATAGTCAGAATAGCGGGTGACTAACGCTGCGGTGGGAAACGTGAGCCATTGGTAAAGGCATCCTGGGGTATATACGGAGTCCCATTCCAAGGAAATGGCAACGGTTATTGTCTGTTGCAGTTTGGTTCTACTAATCTCTCGTTTCTGGCCAGCACAAACTCGAAGCTTAAGGAGAGGCAGTTTCTGATATCTCGTGGACCAACATGAAACCAATGATAAACACAGACATCCCACATTGCCTTAAGCATCGTTGAAGAGAATGGATGCTGCAATACCACTCCGATAACACATTTGTAAAAGCACGTGTAGATCTCTACCCTGTAGGCGGATAGGAACGGAAGAGCGTCTATTTAATAGATCGGAAGATTAGTACGTGAAGTATGTATTTAGCGCGGAGATAGATAAACATTAGTCTTAACGCAGTTCCCTCACACTATTTGTTTCCTTTAGTGAGTGTATCACTTGCCGTTTTTCAATATTTATGTGGACAAATTGATTTGGTTTTAAAACAAATTGAACATGAATGATACTGACTAGTGATGAGATGGCTGGTACTCGTTCTAGTTGTGCATGATCGATCGGTGTGATGATAGAGAGATGGAAATGTCATTTTTATGATAGTTCAGGGATAGCATTGTTCCAAATGAGGAAAACAGTGTTTTTAAAAAATCTTACTTGGTTGTGGCTATCAGAGGAATCCAAGACGCTAGCCACTACCAAGTAAATTATCATAGTAAATATTCAGGCAGTATCAAGGCATCCGCACAGAAGCCCGTATGCCAATAAAGGTCGAACAGTTCGATCCAGTAAAACAACGAAGAATTAATAGCATGTAAACAACAATAATAATGTTTGTTATTGTTAGAAACCAAGGCAGGCTTGCTTGTTTAAGCGGTATTGTATGCTGAACTAAAGAACCGTGTGTCATGCACTGTGTGCTTCGCTCATCACACTGGATTGTCAGCAAGTAATGTGGTTCAACCAGATGGCTGTTGTCATCTTATTTGAAAAGTATAGTGTTGTATACGACGTATACTTATATGAACATGTTTATTTGGTGTATAACACTTTATCGATAGAGTTGACATAGAAATTATGATTACCGTGAAGAAATTATTCAAAAGTCAATGGATTTCTCGTAAGTAACAGACGCTGACTGACGATTCACGGTAGGTAGGTAAACAGCTAGACAGCAGAAATGAACTTATTACCTCCCGGAGTTGTTCGGTTCAAGTTGGCACACTTCATAGCAGCATGAAAAGAAAGAATGAATATAAAAGAGTGATATCAAAGTACACGAAAGTTGAAGGTAAGAAGATGACTTTAGAGATTTAGGCTAGTGAAGATATCCAAAGATTGGAAGACTTCGAAGAGTAAGTCGATGTGCTCTGTTGCCACCGATTTGTAACCTTGTAACGAAGCGGCTAGATGTAAGCAGTGATTACTATTATCTGGAGGACCGCAGCCAACCATTCTATACCTCCCTATTTGTATTGAGAATAATAGTCAGATTCCAGATTGGATTTGTTTATTTGGTTTATAACACACAGTGATAAAGTATTATTTACTTGATGACGCTTCGAGCATAAATTATTGCTCATAACCATATCAATGGATATCGATGTAATCACACTACTCTCAACATCTGATTTTTATAGCCCCGTCACCTCATATTATTCGTTTTTATTGGTAGTAACATTTTCCATATCTGTGATACAGGTGTTGCGTCATTTCTACTACATGTGTTGGGTGTTGATTCGATGAACAAAGACTCAGTAATCAATCTCTCTCTCCACCTAGTTATACTAGACTTAAGTACAGCGGTTTTATCCCACCTTATTGTGTGGTTGTGTCATTGTTTAGATGCCTGTTGGAATGTATTGGTTTTCTGTTGCCGTTAGTATCCAAACCACCGTCTGTCCTTCATTTTATCCTGCGATTCAACACAGGTAATTCACCTTTTTCATCTTCCATATCGTAAATGGATTGAATTGCGCGTACTACTGAGTTTATATGTGTGGAGAAATTGTCGAAATGTTCGTATTTTAACACAGTAAATGTGTCGTCGACGTATCGCCAACATATCTTAGGTGCAGGATTAAACGTTTGTAAAGCTATGTTTTCCCAACTGTCCGCTACGATTGGGGATGTTGGTACATCTATCCAATGTCAGTTGAGACAGGTTTAATCAAGTGTCTAAATGATAGGGCTAGAAAACTGACTAGTCAATGCAAAGACCTAAACAAGGAACTGAAGGACATAAAAGAAGCGCTAATAGTTAATAATTATCCTCTGAAGTTTATTGGTAGATTCGTACGAACACACAAGAAACGAAAAGATAGCAGGACGACAACACAAGTAGAAAGTAGTTTACAGCCTCAATTGTGTTACCCTATAGGGAAGGTACGTCAGAAACCTTACTCAGGATTCTCAACAGAGCTAGAATTAGGATGGCATTTAAACCTACAAACTCAGAGGTAAGCTTTTGTCGGCATAGGGATCCGATAAAACCAATTAAGCAAAATAATCTAATCTATCAAATTTCATGTGATGACTGCGAAGTCAAGTACGTAGGTCAAACTAGCTGGTTGGGGTTAGTTAGAATAGCGGAAAATAAAAATTTAGCTTAACATAGAATGACAGACCCGAATAAGATCAATAATCTGGAAAAAAAAGTCGGTTAATGCAGTGCACGCATTAACACAATCGCACAATAGGTGGGATAAAACCGCTGTACTTAAGTCTAGTATAACTAGGTGGAGAGAGAGATTGATTACTGAGTCTTTGTTCATCGAATCAACACCCAACACATGTAGTAGAAATGACGCAACACCTGTATCACAGATATGGAAAATGTTACTACCAATAAAA